TCATAATTTTGTGTGTCAAGGCAGGAATTGAAGCGGCTTGTCACATCAGATTCATAGTACAGAGCATGGGGAGAATATATGCTACCTGCTTGCCTATTTAGTGAATAAAAAAGAAATAAAAAGAAAAGAAAAGGACATTACTGTTCCTAGGTGTGGTGGAGAGGAAAGTTTAGAAAGTTTATTATAGTTGTGTGGGAGAGCACATCCAGAGCCAGGGGCATCTGGGAGTTCAGTGTGGACATGACCAGAGTGAGGGGGACCATGAGGGGAGAGAGGGAGAAGAAGGAAGAGGTAAGAGAGGGCAACCAGGTGCAGCAGCCAGGAGGCCAAAGGTACAAAGGGGTGGGTAACTAAAATGTCAGGATTATACAAGGAAGAGCCTCTGGGATAAAGACAGCCCACTTCCTGTGCTGAAGAGATCAGGGTAGGGGAAAGGGCATACCAGCCATACTCTGTACCAGGTAGGGACTGGGGGGAGGAGCTCTAGGAGAACCTGCTAGCCAGGGCTGAACTGATTTGTTAAACAGGCACCTCAACTATTTGTCACAGGCTTGAATCTCAATATTTAGCACTCAGTTTTTCATATTCGTACCCAGTTCAGCGGCTAGACCATGAAATGGTGACCCCCACAATGGGTTGGATCTTCGGACATCAATTAACAATCAAGACATATCCCACAAACATGCCCACAGCACAGCCTGATCTAGATAATAGGTTTTTAATACTCTCTTCCAGGTGAGTCTAGTTCTTGTCAGGTTGACAGTCAATGCTAACTTTCACACTAGCCTATTTTACTTCATCCTCCCAACTCTATTGTCTTATTTTTCTTTAAAAAAAACTTACCATCATAAATTGGTCTTTTTTTTAAAACATATTTTTGTAGTTACTGGTGCTTTATATGTCCTTAGTTTTGTTTGACTTTTGTCTGATTTATTTTGGTATTGGTGTTCTAGAAGTTCTTTCTCTTCATGTAGCAGTGGAAATTGAGGGTTACACAGAGGCTACTGAGAAGATCCTTTTTATAAAATAGGAGGAGCTCTTCATACCTGCACAAATGGTAACATGGAAACCCGGGACTAGGACAAAAAAAAAGGCAAGTAACGATACCTCCTCACAAAGTGTACATGCAGGCAATAACTGATTCTGAAAATACAGAGGTGATGGGAGACCAGGTCCAAGATGCAAAAGTGTAACTTTAGTGACTTAGTAATTAATTGGGAGACTGTTCAAGTAGATGAATTACCTGGAGTCCACTGCAAGCTTCCACAACTCATTCAGCATCTCAGACGACAAAATCAGCAAAGGGAGATTCTGAAAGAAAATACAATCTGGAATCTTTAAAGGAAAAATCTCAATAAGTAAAACATCCATTAGAAACTAGCAATGGAGTAGATGATGTCACTGAAAGAATAAAAAGGAATGAAGATAAGGAAGCCTTACAGTGAGATGATTGTCAATGAAAACGAACACTCACGAATATGGCAGTTAGGACTCCCTTGTGAATGATTAAGGGATAGCACCTCTGAGTCTGTGGAGTCCAAGAGGATGTAAAGTGCATCCAAGACATTGAAAATATATTCTGAAGATTTCTATAAGAAAATCACATCACTCTAGTCTTCCTCCCAAACCAACTAAAACAAAACCAACACAAAACAAAAAGACAATCATCCAGCAATGGAAGCCCTTAAGATAAACAAATTGATGTGAATAAGTACCAAAAGGACTTTCTTCAAACCATCACTATACGGGTAGTTAAAATGTCAACAGTACAGAACAGTGAAGGTTGTAACAGGAAAGGGTGTAGTTACCTATTAGCATAAGAGGTTTTTAAACTGAAACTCTAGTACCAGAAAGCATGGGCTTACGTTTTTCATTCTCTGAAACAAACAATATTGCTAAATGAGTAACTATATCCTGCAATGTCATTCATTAAAAATAAAAGAATAATTTACAGCCTTTCATGGTAAACCTAAGATAAATAATTGTGTAAATCCTAAGGTGCTATTGCATAAGACCCTTAAAGGAATATTGAACGCAGAGAAGAACAAAAACAAGCAAAATTTAAAGCTTAGGAAATAATGAAAGTTACTAACACCACACATCAGAATGAAGAAAGCACTAAACATTAGTAATTCAACAAACTAGAAAACCTTTCAGAGAAATAAGATATGATGTAAATATATATCATGCAAGAACACAAAATGTAATTGGCGTTAGGTTTCTTATTTAAAACTAAAAACGGGCAACCTGGATTTAAAGAAAAACTTATCTGCTGGGAGGGGTTTCACTGCCTGTCAGCAGGGATCTACCTTGTCACATGGGTTCCTTCACCTCCATCCTCCAAAGGGATAGGGGACGGGTCAAATGAGTTAGCTCCTGTCAGCACAGATCTGGGACAGCATAAGGTCTCAGTGCAATATGGCTGCGGTGGTGCACTACTATAATCCTAGCACTTGGGGCAGGTGCAGGAAGAAAAGAAGTCAAGGCTGTGGAAAGCACTGTCTCAGAAGAAAGCAAGGGAGAATGGACTGTAACGCAGTCATGGAGCACTCACCTACCATGGACAAAGCTATCTCTTGGATCCTGAGTGGCACAAAGAAAACAACAACAAAAAAAGCAAGCAATCAAACTCCTACTGCAGAGAACAAACACCTCCACAAAATAGAACAAAATAATGTGTCATTATGTGGCTGACAGAGCATACTGATCTGATTTTTTTCAATAAAGGATGTATGATGCAGCTGCTAAAAGATGTTAGTGATGACATCTCAGGGGTGACTCCACTAATATCTACCACTGTTTGCTGGATGGAAACAAAAGTCTTCAGAACCTCTAGCATGGCTGAGCCAGATGGAGATAGGAAGGTCCTGATGTTTCTACCGTTGTGGGTCTTCTTTGGAGGATGGAATCTGTCTCAGTCTCACGGCACTGCCACATAATTAAGTCTGGTTTTCTTTTTACTGGGTGTTGTACCTCATCAATCTGTAATCCCCTTAGTGTCAGATAAATGTTTTATATTTGGGGGTGACAACCCACCCACCATACAGTTTTGGAGTCTCTGCTCTTTCTCCCATGCACCTGTTCTTTCTTCCCCCAGTTTCCCTTTAGAGTCCTATTATAATGGCAGTGAATATTAGAATGTGACAGAAGACACAGTTGCCTGAGAGAACCAAAGTCTCTGTGGAGCATCTGTCTGCACGTGCTTAAAAATCCAGGGTCCTGGTATCAAAAAGAACTGTCCTCCACTCTAATATCTGGCAGTGTGTCATCCCCAGGATCCTGTCTTCTCAAGGTACTTGGTGGTGGTGTTACTCATAGTCCCAAATGCACACCTCTAAACATTCCTCTAATCAAACCCATGGGAGTTTGCCAAGATGGCTCCTCAAGTAAAAACTTTTGCTGCCAAACTAAATGACTTAAGTTTGATTTCTGGGACTCATAATGTCCTGCAAACTGGCAAACTGTCCTGTGACTTTTGTATGCCAGTACATACAAACACAGATAAATACATAAAATGAAATTTAAACTCATTGGTACATGTGGTGGTTTGAATAAGAATGGGCCCTATAGGCTCATATATTTGAATGTTTAGTCATCAGGGAATGACATTACTTAGAAGGTTTGGGAAGTACAGACTTGTTGGGGTAGATGTGGCCATGTGGGAGAAAGTGTGCCAGTGAGGATAGATTTTTGATGTTATAGAAACCAAGCCAGGCTCACTGTCTCTCTCCCTGCTGCCCACTGATCCAAATGTAGAACTTTCAGCTATGCCTCCAGCAACATGGCTGTCTGTGTGCCACCAAGTCTCCACCTTGGTGAGAATAGACTAAACCTCTGAATCTGTAAGTCAGCCCCAGTTAAATGCTTTCTTTTATAGGAGTTGCTTTGGTTATGGTGTCTCATCATAGTAATAAAACACAGACTCCGGCAGTGTACCAAGCTTTGTAGGAGTAGAACTGATTTTCCACTCTGCTGCTTTTGTTCCGTCAGGATCAACTAGACATTTGCTTAGGAAAATGTCATAAAACCTTTAAGAAGCCCCGAAGAAGCAATTTTATCAAAGTTGGTGTTTGTAAGCAGTTGTTTTGGGGATTGGGCTCACACTGAATTACTCTGGAGAGCTTTACACATTATTAACATCAGTGTCCGAGAACCTGGGCTCTGATTTCACCGTTCCTTTATAAATTGACTTTGTCAGATTTTAAAAGTTCCTCTGGAAACAGTTGCAGAGAGTCAGAGGTTACAGCCAGGAGTTCTGTACTTTGAAATGCATGAGCAATACATGTCATCCATGAGTGCTGTGACCCTTTGCCTGATGCAGCATCTTAGTTCTAGAGGGAAGAAACTGCTTTGTCTAGCTAAAATCAAAAAACAAATTCAAGATATGCTCCCTCGTTTGGCTATAAGAGGAAATGCATTCTCAGTAGACACATCTGTATGAATGCCGGTAGCTTCAAAGGAAGATGACTTAAGCACAGACACTGGATTATTGTCTGTGAGGGAAATTAATAATTACATCCAGCAAACCCAAAAGGAATAGAAATATTTTGCATGAATGTGGGATGCATTATACATATTTTCAAATTTTTCCTAAGATAAGCAATGAAAAACATAGCATTGGCTTGCTAAATGGTAGTTTTTACAGTCCAGTTCAAAGGCTTGTTTTGATTTTTTTTTAAAGTGAAAATTTAAAAAAATAAATAAATTTGCTCTTCTTGGAATTCATAGGACACAAACAATGTATATAGATTCAGATGCAACTCATAAATTTTCCTACTTTATTTACAAGGTTAAATACAGACCAATAAGAAGGAGGTCCTGTCACTGGCAGCCCTGCCTTAATTTACCTGCAAAAGCAAGGCCTTGGCATTCTGACTTCACCCACCCACAGAGTGAAGCCTAACTGTCACTCAGGGTGGGACCTTAAACATTACCCAATCAGAGGCACTGGGCCGAAGGCTACCCAATCAGGCACACTGACAAAGTCGAGGGGGCGGGGCGTTCAACTGCGCGTCCGTTGTTGCTGACCCCGCCATCTTGGCGTCTGTGGCCGCTTTTCTTCTCTGCCTTTGCTTCCGAAGTGCACGAGGTCCCGTCGCCTTGTGACTCGCTGGTGCCTGGACACCCAGCGTGAGGGGGCCGCTCACCCGGAGTCCCGAAATGGTGCGTGTACCCGCGGCAGCGTCCCCAGCCCCGAGTCCCCGATGGGAGCCGCCAGGCGCCCGGGCCCCCTGCGCTGTGGCCGGGCCAGGGCAGCTGCACTGGGGACCTGCAGTGGCGTTCCCGTGGCCAGTGCCGAGCTTCCCTGCAGCACCCAGATCTGGTACGACTCCGGTCAGCTGGGGATGCTGACTGGGATGCTGGCTGTTCGGTCTCAGGGCCACCTAAGGGGGCCACCGGCCTCCTCGAGTTTTCCTACTGCCGCCCCGCCCCTCTCTTTCTCTTGCACCTCCGCGTTTGTGCCCGGCTGCCCGTGTTACAATCTTGTGCCTCGTCTCTGATGCTCTGTCTGTGGAAGTCTGTGAGCGGAACCTCCCACCCTCTTCCTCTGCTGCTAATGGTTCATCTTTCCCTAGTGTCTCTGGATTTCTCAACATGTCTCCTCCATGAGACCTTTCCTTCAGGTCCTGGAGCCCCTTGGTGACTTGGAGTAGGTACATCCCATTCTGAACCATTTCCTTCACTCTCCCTCTGTGACTTCTGGCTCTGGCTTTCTATATGCTACTAGACGGAACCTAAGAATTCCTTCCTGCAAAATAGTGCATGAACGTGCACAATAGTGCTCTGCTGAGAACTATAACTAGTTACTCCTCCTTTTTTCCGTAACGTTTTTAGTATCATATTTTAATGGTACATGGTAATGGCTTTCATTACATTTTTATACCTGTGTATAATGTGTTTTCTTCACGCCAACCCCAGTTATTCTCCAGGTCCCTTCCACACTCCCACTAATCCCCTTCCTTTTTCCTATATAGAAAGAGGGACTTGAGTTCATGCCCCTATATCTTCTGCACTCTGGCACAGTGCTACCCTGCCAGCCCCAGCATCTGCCTTTTCGTTGTGCTCTGCATGCCTTACAGATTTAATCTTGTTTTTATATGATTGAATTTATAGAATCCATTCTCTTCCTTTTAGTGAAAACCTTACAAACACATGCTCCTATACAGTTTTGTTTCTATTATAATTCTGTGGAGAGCTCTTTAATTATAATTTCTTCAGTTAGCTCTTTAACACAGAGGTAAGATACTTGTGTTGATCTTAATGTGTCCCACAATACAGAATACAAGTCAAGCCCCAGCTTCTATGTGACACTGGCAAGACACAGCCACCTAGAGAAAAGGATTTTTTTCCAGTTCTGAGGCCTTGGGTTGACAAGAGGTTTGTCATTACAGGGCTTGGTGTCATTTGAGGATGTGGCTGTGGACTTCACATGGCAGGAGTGGCAGGAGCTGGATGCTGCTCAGAGAACCCTTTACAGGGATGTGATGCTGGAGAACTACAATAGCCTGGTTTCCTTGGGTGAGTCTGACTCCCAGGGCAGCTAACTTTTAATACTAAGTTGATAGACATTTTAGCATATGTGCATATATTACTTTCTTCCTGATAGCTATTTTTAAAGATTTAATTGTCAAACATATTTATTACCACACTATGGAACATAAGTTCCTTGTCCTTTGCCCCAGGTACTGAAACAAATGCTAACTATTCCCTGTCTACCCATGTCCCCTGTGTCTTTGCTCTACTCTTATAACTGCCATTTTCTCTACTTCTTTGAGGTTACGTTAGCTTGCAAGTATAATGAGGACATGTGAGATTTCGCTTTTTATGACAGATGTGGTTCATTGAACTTGTGTAGACATAAGAAATCTTCTGTTTACCTCAATTGTGGAGGAAGTCAATCGCTCAATAAAACTTCCATCTATTCCAGTATGGTTAATCAGAAAGTATATTTGTTCTGGTCAGACAGCCAAAATGACTCTCCGACAGTGGTAATCCTGACAACTCCACATCTTACTCAGTTTTGCCTTCTGTGGTACTTGCAGTTGGGCAGAAGGGGTCTGGATTGGAATCTCTCTTGAGGGGTTCATGACAGTCTTCTGAGGGAATATTGGCTCCATCATTATTGCTGTGCTCTATCTATTTATTTTAATGCTATATTTGTATACCAAGTTCTTTTGTGGACCACCAGTTATTTAGTTTTAAGATAGTGGAGGTTATCACAGGCTCAGAAATAGCAATTTACATCTTCACAAGTGCTCTCCATTTCTGTTCCTGGACAAGTGTTTCTCTTTGTAGGGTGATGCCCCCAAAAGGGATGTTAATATGTCAGCCTGCTCCCCCTTCCTTTGCTTTCTGGCTGTGGTAAGGTGATGTACATCGCTCAGCCACTGTGGCCTTTTCTGTTCAGGTGATTTTGAGTTTGATGTAATACGTTTTACTGACTTGGCTTTGATGGCTGTGCATCTGGCAGACATCACAATACTCTTTGTCTGCCTCACTGTCCTGAGGTGTTTATTGTATATGCTAGAGACAGCATTATGTCTGGTCTTACATTTTAACCTTTGATTTACTTTTGGAGTTTCTTTTTCCTCACTATGTATTTATAATGCAGTTTTTCAGGTTGGCTTTGAACTCGCTTGATTTTGACCTTCTGATTCTCTTGGCTGTATCTCCTGAGTGCTGGGATTTCAGGTGTGTGGTAGCACACTCAGAACCTGATCTGTTGTAGTTGATGTCTATGTAAATTTAGAGAGAGGATCTCTTGCCTTTTATCAGCATGAATAGTCCATACTTCTCTGCAAGAGTTACAGATGAGAACTTCCCTCCTGGTTGAAAGAACCTTTGTTGAAAATTAACTGACCGAATATATTAGTCAGCTTTTCATCACTCCAACACAGTACTTCAGTGAAATCGTAAAAGGAAGATTGACGTTGGTTCATAGTTTTCCCAGGTTTTTCCATGGTTTTACTTGGCCACGTCACTTTGGTCCTGTCGTGTGGAAGAGTCACATGAAGGAAGCACATAACTGAGGAATGCCGCTTACTTCACTGACACTGGAGAGCAAAGAAAGGGTTCTGACATGTCAGCATCCCTTTTTGGGCATCTCCTCATAGCCACATTTCTTCTGCTAGACTGTACCTGCTAACTTTATCAAAAATTAGTAACCATGATTTCAGCATTTGGAATGCTATATTCTTTGGAATATGCTTCAAATCCGCATTATAACCCTGAATAGATATTGTTTTGTTTGGGGCTGTGTGTTCTCTTCCAGTAGTGTCTAGGTTTCTTTTTGTGCCAGTTCTCCACTGTGTCTTTGTAGTGGGTTTTGAAGGTAGGTACATGTTGGTGCTTTTTCAGCAAGATGCTTAGCTAGCTTCAGGTCTCTTGCACTTTTCCATGATGTACATTGTTTAGGAAGTGCTTTTCTGTTTCTGGAGATGTGTATTAATTTTACTATGAAGATATTGTTAAATCCTGTAAATCATTTTAAGAAGTATGGGTTTTGCATCTTTTAATATTTTTATTTTATTTCTTCCATTTATTAACATAAAATATGGTGACTTATTTTTGTGGTTTTTTTTATTTCACAATATTAGTTTATTTTTACTCTGATAATCTCATACATGATGCAGTGTATTTTTCAGCTTTACCATCTGTTGTCTTCTTATGCCCTCCCCATTCCTCTGAGTGTGTGTTTGTGTGTGTGTGTGTGTGTGTGTGTGTGTGTTTTATGACCACTGAGTTTGATTAGGATTCTTTGCAAGAATATGGGATTGTGGATTAATTCCTGGATGGAGCATGGACAATTTGTTTTCTTTTTTTTCTGAACCGGTGTTTCACTGTGTCTCCTGGGTGCCATTGAACTTACTTTGTAGTTGAAAGTGTTTTCAAACTTACAACAGTCCCCCTCTTTCAGCTATTGTATCCTGGGATTTTTCCATCTGGCGAGGAGGAGGGGATGGCCTCTTTTAACTTCTCAGTGTTTGGGAATTTTCAGACTGGTATTAGACTTGTTGGTTAATAAGTTTTACAGTAGAGCTGGGGACATAGCTCAGTGATAGTTGGCCTGCAGCTGTTTTGAATAGGAATATAAAATTACACTTCTCAGTAATTAATGTTTTTTGTTTTTGATTGCATACATGGTGTTTTAGTTTTTGACTGTGTGTTCTCTAAGAAGTTTTTCATCTAGCTTCTAGGTTTTCTTTTCTTTTTCTTTTGAGTCCTTTAAGTTTTTTCTCTGTGTAGCTTCATTTACCATTCATAGGGCGCTATCATAGTCCATCAGTGAAGTGAACTTTCTGCTTGTGAACAATTTTTATATCGCTTTCTATTTACAGGGCACTGCTTGACTAAACCTGAGTTGATCTTCAGGTTGGAGCATGGATTTGGGCCATGGAGTATAGGAGAGACCTCACTCTGGAGTCTTCCAGGTCAGTGAATGTAAACTGAGGAAGGGAAATCAGCAAGGACGACTGACTGCTTATAGAATATGTTGAGCTGTCTTTACCAGCATTCCACAGCTAGTCTAAGTAACAACTAGTTTTTTCTGTTAGGCGTTTATTTTATGCAGATTTCAAATGGGGAATTCTGTGTCAGTCTCTCTCCTTATTTTTGTTATTGAAGTCTGTTTTCCTAAATTTGCTAAAAAAAAAAAATCAATCTTTGTATAGATTTTCGCTGTAGTGAGGAGCTGTGGGCAGGCCTGCTTTTCATCCCATCTGGCTCCTGCACGGCTAGCTTAACCCCGGAAATAACAACACAAAAATTGTATTCATTTAAACACTGCCTGGCCCATTATCTGTAGAGAGTTAGTTACTGGCTAACTCTCACATCTTGATTAACCCATTTCTAATAATCTGTGTAGCACCACGAGGTGGTGGCTTACCGGGAAAGATTCAGCATGTCTGACCTGGTGACTGGTTCCATGGCGTCTGCCTCATTGCCCTCTTCTCAGCATTCTGTCCTGTTTACTCCGCCTACCTAATTTTCTGTCCTATCAGAGGGCCAAGGCAGTCTCTTTATTAACCAATAAAAATAGCACATAGACAGAAGGCCCACCTACAGCATTTCGCAGGCATTTTTGTTGTTGCTTTGAGATGGGGGTCTCATAGCTCACACTACCCTCCATCTTGTTGTGTAGTTAATGCTGGGCTAAAAGTCTTCATCGTTTTCCCTCCATTTCCCACTACCCACATGTGTGATCACACATATGATCACACATATGATCTGTACATTTGTCAGTTACTCTTTCTAAATACTTCATCTGAATTCTCACTGTCATTCTTACCTTGTTTAATATTGAAGATTTATGTATTTCAGTGCTTAGTCTTGATCAGAAATTTTATTAACATTCAAATGTATCTCTTGAAGGGCTTAAGTTTAGTGAGAGAAAAATGAAGCAGTACCATAATAATCTACCACAGTGAGCTAAGAGACACCAAGAATATTAACCTGAGGTGGGGGGAAAAACACATGAAGTTTTATTTTAGGAAAAGTATAAAGTAAGGCATTGTTGAAGAATTATTCATTTATTTTAGTTTAGTGTTATGATTGCTCTTTTTTTATTATTATTATTAAAAATTTCCACCTCTTCCCACTTTCTTCCCCTCCCCTCCCCCCACCTCTTCTCTCCCTCCTTCTCCAGGCCAAAGAGCAGTCAGGGTTCCCTACCTTATGGGAAGTCCAAAGTCCTCTCGGTTCCCCCCCCAGGTCCAGGAAGGTGAGCATCCAAACAGACAAGGCTCCCACAAAGCCCATCCATGCAGTAGAATCAAAGCCCAGCGCCATTGTCCTTGGCTTCTTGGTCAGCCTCCACCATCAGCCACATTCAGATAGTCCAGTTTGATCACATGCTCCATCAGTCCCATTCCAACTGGCCTTGGTGATCTCCCATTAGATCTGTCCCACCATCTCAGTGAGTGAACGCGCCCCTCGCGGTCCTGACTTTCCTTCTGCTCCCCATTAGGACCTTGGGAGCTCAGTCCAGTGCTCCAATATGGGTCTCTGTCTCTATCTCCAGCCATCACCAGATGAAGGTTCTATGGTAATATGCTAGATATTCATCAGTGTGGCTATAGGAGAAGGCCAGTTCAGGCACCTTTTCCTCTGCTGCTCAAGGAACAAGCTGGGGAATCTCCTTGGACACCTGGAAATCCCTCTAGAGTCAAGTCTCTTGCCAACCCTAAAATGGCTCCCTTAATTAAGATATATATTTCCATGCTCCCACATCCACCCCTCCTTCATCCCAACCATCCCATTCCTCTCAAGCTCTCCCCATCCTCCCCTTCTCCCTTCTCTCCCCACATCTCCCCTTATCCCCACCTCACCCCCACCCCCGTGCTCCCAACCCCTGCCCAGCAATTTTGTCAACTTCCAATATCCAGGAGGATAACTATATGATTTTTTTTAGGTTCACCTTCTTATTTAGCTTCTCTAGGATCACGAATTATAGGCTCAGTGTCCTTTAATTATGGCTAGAATCCACTTATAAGTGAATACATACCATATTCCTCTTTTTGCGTCTGGGTTACCTCACTCAGTAAAGTGTTTTCTATTTCCATCCATTTGCATGCAAAATTCAAGATTTCATAGTTTTTAACCGCTGAGTAGAACTCTAAAGTGTATATGTGCCACACCTTCTTTATCCATTCTTCTATTGGGGGGCACCTAGGTTGTTTCCAGGTTCTGGCTATTAAAAATAGTGCTGCTGTGAACATAGTTGAACAAATGCTTTTGTGGTATGATAGGGCTTCTCTTGGGTATATTCCCAAGAGTGGAATTGCTTTGTCCTAAGGTAGGTTGACTCCCAGTTTCCCGAGAAGCTGCCACACTGATTTCCACAGTGGCTGCACAAGTTTGCATTCCCACCAACAATGGATGAGTGTTCCCCTCACTCCACATCCTCTCCAGCATAGGATATCACTGGTGTTTTTGAATTTAGCCATTCTGACAGGTGTAAGATGATATCTTAGAGTTGTTTTGATTTGCATTTTTCTGATCGCTAAGGAAGTTAAATATGACCTTAAGTGTCTTTTAGTCATTCGAACTTCTTCTGTTGAGAATTCTCTGTTCAGTTCAGTACCCCATTTTTTAATTGGGTTAATTAGCATTTTAAAGTCTAGTTTCTTGAGTTCTTTGTATATTTTGGAGATCAGACCTTTTTCTGATGTGGGGTTGGTGAAGATCTTCTCCCAGGCAGTAGGTTGCCTTTTTGTCTTACTGACAGTGTCCTTTGCTTTACAGAAGCTTCTCTGTTTCAGGAGGTCCCATTTATTAATTGTTGCTCTTATTGTCTGGGGTTCTACGTAGGAAGAGGTCTCCGTGCCCATGTCTTGTAGACTACTTCCCACTTTGTCTTCTATCAAATTCAGTGTGGTCAGGTTAATATTGAGGTCTTTAATCCATTTGGACTTGAGTTTTGTTCATGGTGATAGAAATGGATCTACTTTCATTCTTCTACAGGTTGACAACCAGTTATGCCAGCACCATTTGTTAAAGATGGTTTCTTTATTCCATTGTATACTTTTAGCTCTTTTGTCGAAAATCAGGTGTTTATAAGTTTGTGGATTAAGATCTGGGTCTTTGATTCGATTCCATTGGTCAACATTCATGTTTTTGTGCCAATACCAAGCTGTTTTCATTACTGTAGCTCTGTAATAGAGTTTGAAGTCAGGGATGGTAATGCCTCCGGAAGTACTTTTATTGTATAGGGTTGTTTTGGCTATCCTGGGTTTTTTGTTTTTTCCATATAAAGTTTATTATTGTTCTCTCAAGGTCTGTGAAGAATTGTGTTGTGATTTTGATGGGGATTGTATTGAATCTATAGATTGCTTTTGGTGGAATTGCCATTTTTACTATATTGATCCTCCCAATCCAAGAGCAAGGGAGATCCTTCCATTTTCTGGTATCCTCTTCAATTTCTTTTCTTCAAAGACTTAAAGTTCTTGTCAAATAGATCTTTCACTTTCTTGGTTAGATAGTGTTACGATGACTCTTAAAAATTTTTTGAACTACCAGCACTCAGGAGCATAAGCAGGCAGGCAGATCTCTGAGTTCGAGGCCAGCCTTGTCTATAGAGCAAGTTCCAGGTCAGCCAGGGCTACACAGGTAAATCCTGTCTTAAAAAAGAAAAAGAAAGAAAAAACTTTATATATATATAACACATATATATATAAAACATATATATATATATGGATGTAAATTGAGGACATTTTATGGAGAAAGAAATTTGGAAATGTGGTAGCCTAAGAAAAATCAACTGCAGAATATAGTTTTAAATTAGGAAAGAACACATCGGAAGTTTAAGGGTAGGATGGCATTTAATGCATATTTTCCATGCTGATACACAAATGCCCAGTGCCAGAGTCACAAAGGAGAGAATGTTTTCCAAAGAGAACATGAGAGAAAGAGTACTTGGGATCAAGAAAGAGGTGACAGGACAGTATACATTAGAACAGAAAAGCTATTTTCTCTCTTTTTGAGAAAAGTGTGGCACAGACTACACTTTTAATCTCAATCCCAAGTGCTTCAGGGTATCTCTCCTCCTCCAGTTGGTGCAGGTGGGACCTGTGGCTTAGGTGGTCATTCTACCTCCTGGTGCAGGTGGAGCTGTGCCTTTGCTATTTGCTGATGTGGCTCTGGGGGCTCCTCTCCAGGTGCAGTCAGGACCAAGACTCAGGTGGTAATAGGTGCAGTGAGGGATGGTTGAAGGTTTGTGGAGGCTGCTTGGGGTCTCTGGGGTTTGCTGTTTGGCGGTGGGGCACAGGATGTTCCTCTGTTGGCTAGGGTCAAGAGAACAGGACAGTCCGACTGGGAACCCAGACATTCACCTCTCCAGGGACAGTCAGGGCCAAGTCTCCAGTCATCAGAGATGCAGTGGGGTGTGGCTGCAGGTTTGGAGAGACTGCTCCCAGGTCCCTAGGACTTCCCTAGGTTGGGGTGGGGCATGGCACATGCCTTTGTGAGCTAGGGTCCAGCTCTCTGGATCCTCCAGCCAGGAACCCAGACAATTACCTCTCCAGCAGCAGCCAGGGCCAAGGCTCCGGTGGTTAGAGATGTGGTATGGGATGCCTGCCTTTTAAAGTTTTTAGCATTATTCCTATGTCTGATTTGTTTTGGTGTTGTTCTTTCAGCATTTTGATTTCTCTCTGAATGATGTTGGGAGTTGAAGCCAAAGGTGAAAAAGGCTGCTAGGACGCTTTTTAGAAGATGAGGGGTGCTTTCCATCCCCATTCTTTCAAAGTGGCTGTCAGTGGCACACAAACCTAATATACATGACAGCAACGAGGTAAATGGTGATAATTATTGGAAAAACTAGGACATATCCAATAACTGATTCTGAGTATTTTGTAAATAGTGGAATGTCAGGTATAAAATGCAAAAGTGTGGTTTTAGTAATGATTTATGCACTAAAGTGGTATTCAAATAAATAAGTGAATGGAGTCTAATGCTTCTGTGACAAATTTAGTGAACAGAGATCGTGACAGAAAATACACATTTAAATAATTAAAGAAAGAAGTTCAATAAATAGATCACTCAATGGAAAGCAACATTTGTTGGAGTAGACTGTGTAGAAGGAAGAATTTTAGGAATGAAAGTAAGGTCGAGAAATTATTGTAGTGAAAGAACTCTATAGGAAAAGGAAGCTCAGTCATGACTATAAAGGAGGTGCAATCTATGACTGTGGTACAGAACAGAGAAATGAGAAGTAGACTAAAGACACAGAAAATGTAATCCATAAAATAGAGTTGAAAATTGCACAAATACCTGGAAAGAACGAAAACCCAAAACCAGAAAACATGTATACATCCAGAAAAGGAGCCATTCAGAATCACTGACCAATATAAATTAGAAAGACTTGCTCAAACATGGTTTTAGTTAAATGCAGATGATAGAAAAGGGAAAGACATCTTACAGTGTAAGAGGCAACAGCTTTGTTACTATAATAGCAAGCCCATTTAGCCTTCTAAATCTTTTTAGCTGAAACCTTGATACCAGAAACCCTGTGAGTTCATGTGTACAATGACCCTATTGTATCTGAAATATGCTGTTTATCAACAGTCATCTACTACTTATGGCCTTAAAATCTTTCTTCCCCTTCTTTTGTGGTGTTCCTTGACCCTTGGGATTTAGGCATTTGATACAGACGTCCCTTTAGGATTGCCACTCTGGTAAATGATTGTTGAAAACTACTAATCTATGAATATAAAGATAAGTACTTAGTGGACTGTTTAATACTGTAACTATTTAGTAGAAAAAATGGAAGTAGTTTGTGCCTGACAGCCTATGACCTACCCAGTCACAGGTTCTTGTCTCAGTTACCAGTATCAGGCATTAGTTCTATCTTATGGAGTGGGGCTTAACTACAATTCAAGTGCTTGTTCCCCCCACAAATTCCATGCCACTTTTGCAAAAGTAGGTATATCTTATTAGGCCAGTCATTATTGTAGTTCTCAAGGTTCACAGCTGGTTAAGACCATTGATTACTTTTTTCTTTCAACACTATGATGGCACTTCCCAGGACTATGAAAGATAGGAAGTAGGGTTGAAGCTTCCAGATCAATATCAGCTTGATCTTTCCATGTCCCATAGTTAAAGTATGTAGTGTCTTCGGAAATTGGATTTTAACATCAAGTTCTGAAGGGTAACTCAGAGCAGTAGCAATATCTTGTAATGTTGGGGCAAGAGAAGTCTTTGGAACCATACTGACAACACCTTGAAAATAGACAATCCCTATGCATTGAACATTTTGTTCAATAGCCTGTAACATCTAAGGCATTTTTCCCCATATAGGGTAACTAATTACATTTTGTCTGTCTGTCTTGGGAAGCGTCTAAAGTGGGTTTCCATAAGACTTCAAAAGGTCTTTAGTGTTAGTTATCTTTCACTATATACCTGTTCCTGTCCCTGTCCTTTCACCACAACCCACTGAACCCTACCTGTAGCATTATTTCCTTTTACTCCTTTATAACACATGTGTTATATCCTCCATTCCTTACTCCCTTCTCCCATGTCATTCTTAGTTCTCCTAACTTCTACAGGTCCTCTAATTTAAGCACACACATCTAAAGATTCAAAGCTAGGATCTACATATGAGAGAGAGAGCATGCGTCATCTTTTTCTGGATCAGGCTACCTCCCTCAGAATAATTTTTTTCCAGCTCCATTTATTTACCTACAAAGCTCATAATTTCTTTTATGAGTGAATAAAAACTTTTGTTGTGTATGCATATCACATTTTCATTATCCATTCATCATATGATGGACATCTAGACTGTTATTTCAATTTTTTAGTTTGAACAGTAATGTATGTGTTTTTTAACCACCACCCAGTGCAATAAGAAACTTCTCTGATCAAGTTTTAGAGTAGCACAGATGTATAGATAGAAACATAATTGTTTAGGATGCAGTTTGATAATATGGCCATTAGAGGACAAATTAGTTTGGATAAATTATGTCCATAATTCTGTGATGTGGGAGAATTGTCTGTATTCTGTCAATCTTATTTTAATAAAACACTGATTGGCCAGGCAGGCAGTATAGGCGGGAAAGCCAGACAGCAAGAGGGGTGGAGCAAAGAGACTGAGAGAATTCTAGGAAGCAGGAAGCTTCCTCGGCAGTTTTGCCCAGACCACCAGAGAGGAAAGATGTAAGCTGCCCCGCTGGGAAAGGTACTGAGCCTTGTGGCTAACGTAGATAAGAATAATGGGGTAACATAAGTTATAAGAGCTAATAAGTAGCCTGACCTAATGGGCCAATTAGTTTATAATCTTATGGAGTCCTGTGTGTGATTTTCTTTGGAATTTGCCGGCTGTGGGGTACTGAGTGGGACAGAAACCCCAACAAGCCGGCCCTCATGTTACAATCCTGTACAGTTGATATACAGTATAAGTCACCTAAAAATATGTACTTAAAAAAAAAATATGTACTTGATATTCTCCTATATGTACAGGTACAAACTAATCTGGATTTGCAGCATAACTATTTCTTAGTATTTATTTTTAATAAAATGGTTTATTTTCAAAAATGTATTTATGTCTAAGAAACAAAAGAGATTTGTAGAACAGAAGATGGATTATAAAGAATTTTTGAAGAATCTGTCCTCTAGTGTGAGAGAACGGTGATTTTATACATTGATCAATGAAATGCTGCTGCAGATTTTCAGGGCAAATTAAACAAATTTCTATCACATACATAATAATCCTTTTAACAACCTACATTCTTGCTCATAACAGACTATGAAACCTATATCAAGTGGGTAGATAGTGAAAGAAAATCTTCCCCCGCCACATGGGAGAGATGTCAGGTGGTGTGTATATAATTAAAGTAATGGAGAAAAAAAAAAAAAAAAAAAAAAAAAAAAAGGAGCTCAGGGTAACCCCAGCAGTTAAACAGTATGCCAGAAATGACAGAGAAGGCGGTGGATGACCTCTTTCCATGTGTTTCACAAGAGTAAAAGCAGCAAAGGAACATGACTTAGCACCACCTTATCTGTTCATATAATCTTCCCTTATACTTAGAAGTATCTACTACACGATTTTATTTGAGCAGAGTAAACAATATGTTTGCTTAATGATTTTTTTTAATATATTGTTTCAGGTGTTCTTGAAGTGTATGCTTCAGATAAGAGTTGCCTGGAAAATCAGGGGAGTCATGTGTGGCCAGTGGGAAGCATCAGCAGGAATCTGTCAAACAAAGAGATGATTGAAGTAGGTAAAACATGGATGTAAGCAGAACTTTCACATTTTGAATCTGGGCATAGGACTAGAATTTTTTCCTAGGAACCTAACCAGTGGTAGAGTGTCCATAGTAAGGCTAATCTGACGCTGGCAGTGAAGAAGCTGATAATATAACTGATAAGCCCCTCTGGCACCCTTAGTACCTTAGTCTCCCTAACAAGTTTGAAAGGTCACATTATGATGTTCAATATACAAAGACTGTTATGAAAAATGTTTGATATTTAAGAAACCTCTCATTTCATGCTTTGGAAATCTTTTGCTTGCATAACACTTATTCTGTAAAACATACCTCATGAAAGAAAAGTATTGCATTTAACAGGTCTCAGAACAGAACATGGTAAAGTATAGGACTGAGAGATAGCTGAGCAGTTAAGAACATGAGCTGCTCTCACACAGGACCCGAGCTAGGTTCCCGGAACACATGTCGTGCTGCTCCTAACTACCTATAACTGTAGCTCCAGGGGAATATGATACCTCTGACTTCCATGGGTACCTACTCCTGAATGCATATACCCCTATACATATATGCATAATAAAAATTATAGAAAAAATAAATCTTTTTTATGGCAAACTGTACACTAGGGAAAATATTGGGAATGCACTTTTTATAACTTAAAAGAATTTATTATCCTTACAGAACATTAAGTACATGCTAGAAAATAGCCCTACTGATATAAAACCTTGACATATTCTTTTGTCTCAAGGCAGAAATGAAGGTTCAATTGGAACTCCATCGAGGTATAAAGCCCTATGAATGTAAACCATGTATGAAATCGATTAATGTGCCATCGCAGCACAACAAGCCGCGTGAATATTACTCAAGTGTGAAACCCTACGAATGGAAGGAATGTCAGAAAGCTTTCTGTTATAAGTCAGCACTCACTGGACATCAGAGAACTCGTACAAGATTGAAGATCTATCAGTGTACAGAATGCAGGAAAGCTTTTCCCTCCAAATCAGAACTCACTGTACATCATAGAATTCATACTGGTGAGAAGCCTCATGAATGTGAAGAATGTGGTAAAGCTTTCTATCGTAAGTCAACCCTTACTGTACATCAGAAAACTCATAGAGGTGAGAAACCTTATGAATGCAAGGAGTGTTGGAAAGCTTTCTATTATAAGTCAACCCTCACTGAACATCAGCGAATTCATACAGGTGAGAAGCCTTATGTATGTAAAGACTGTGGCAAAGCTTTCTTCTACAAGTCAAACTTAACTCGCCATCATAGAACCCATACAGGTGAGAAGCCTTATGAATGTGAAGAGTGTAGGAAAGGTTTCTCCTCCAAGTCAGAGCTCACTTCACATCATAGAACTCATACAGGTGAGAAGCCCTATCAGTGTGAAGAATGTGGTAAAGCTTTTTACTGCAAATCAACCCTCCGTGTACATCAAAAAATTCATACAGGTGAAAAGCCTTATGAGTGTAAAGAATGTCAGAAATCTTTCTATTATAAGTCAACCCTGACTGAACATCAGAGAACTCACACAGGCGAGAAGCCCTATGAATGCAAAGACTGTGGCAAAGCTTTCTTCTACAAGTCACAGTTAACTCGCCATCATAGAATTCATACAGGTGAGAAACCTTATGAATGTGAAGAGTGCAGGAAAGCTTTTTCCTCCAAGTCAGAGCTCACTGCCCATCATAGAACTCATACTGGAGAGAAGCCCTATGAATGTAAAGAATGTGGCAAATGTTTCTGTCGCAAGTCACATTTAACTCTACATCATAGAATACATACAGGTGAGAAGCCCTATGAATGTAAAGATTGTAGAAAAGCTTTTTTCTGCAAGTCAGGACTTGCCCGACATCTGGGAACTCATACACATGACACTAATACAAAGAATAGAGAAAAGCATTTTCCTGCAACTCACATGTCAGCCAATATCAGAAATGTCATACAATTAAGAAACCCTGTGAGTATAAAGAATGAAGAAAAACTCTCTACTGTAAATCAGTCCTCACTCCATACCATGGATTTCTTACAGTTGAGAAGTCCTGTCGATGTGCATAATGCAGGAAAACTTACCTTTGTGACTCATGCCTCTTTCAGTATGAATGAACTCAGATGAGACACACTAATAGTGTAGAGAAGGCAAGAAAGCTTGCAGTCAACCAAGATGACTTGACATCAGAGAATGTAGAATGATGACAGCAAAGAACATGTGAAAACTGCCACAAGGGAGGCCTTCTTCAACATCTGAAAATCCATACTGGTTGGTGTGTGACCCTGTCTGGAAAGAATGTAAGAAAACTCTACTGTAGGTATCTCACTGTGAGCATCATACATGTGAAGAAGCTTATGGATTTCAAGTTTAAAAGTTTTGAATGATAATTCAAATCTCAGTTGATATGAGTATACATGCTATGAAGAATCCTGAGGATGTTAAAAATCCAACATTTTATAGTGTAGAATATTATATATGTACTAACCATGCAAAACAAACATTTAAGGGACCTTGCTAAAGAACATAGGAAAACTTGGATAGTCAAATCACATTCTGCATCAGAAAAGTTATATAGGTGAGAGACTATGTACAAATAATAATTTTGTCCTGTATGATACTTGTTTATGTTCCATGGTCATTGAGATATTGCTATTCAAGACTAGAAATATAGCCTGTCCAACTCTGGTGAGCCTGGAGTGGTATATAATAGCATGTATAAAATTTTATGTAGTTCAGAAGTGGTGCTAAGGTATGTTGGATGTGACTGTGACATTGTACCTGGTAGGCACTGTCTTTTGTGGGACTATTAAAGTCACTGATGCTCTGTGTTTTCTTATTTTCATCTGGCAAGAGAAAAGATGGTGGATCTTCTCAAAGTCGTTTTAATTGGACAGTCACTGCCATAGGAGTCAAGAAATTAACAGTACTTATTTCCCAATCCTCATAGAAATGACGGTTTTGAGTGGTAACCGTTATCTCAGATTAGGAACACGTGAGAGACCAAGATACATGGGGTTTTGTACCACATTTTGCAGATATACAAAGTAATTTAGACCAATGCCTAAGATAACGAATGAAGTGAGTGTTAAGAGCCAGGATCAAATATCCTGTCTGAGCACAGTGGTGATTTACACTAGCTTTGCACCATTTTAGTTGGGCCAGATACACGCAGTTTGAGGTCAAGGGACAGTGCTGTTTGTGACTGAAGGGAGAATAATCTTCAGTACCATTTTTCAACTCTGGCAGAAAAAAAATCTAAATAATTGTGTCCTAGGTGTCTGTCCTCTGAGCAAAGTAGCTGCCATCTTGGGAAATTCAGCTGTACCACCTTGCAAAAGCTAATCCCAGCTGGGCTTGTTGATGGTTTATAGCCTCCTCCCCTCCCCTCAGTAGCCAGCTGCTCCCTATCAACTGGCAATTCTATAGACTGCCTGGAGAAAAGATTTAAGACAGTGTGTGTATGTATTTGTTTCTATATATATGTGTGTATGTGTATGCATTCCAGGGAAGACTAGGGAAGGCACCATATTCCCCATCTATGCTGTTTGGAGGAAACCCAGTTCTTGCTAGGTAAAACTTTCCAGATGTGGCCCATTAGGGATGGAGAACCCACACTCTTGGAGGTAACCCTCCAAGAGTTTTCTCACTCCGTAAGAAAACCAAATAAACTCATTGGTTTATTTGGAACTGGTTTGCCTTTAGGACCTTAGGCTCTTAGAAGAGGTAGACACTGATTATGTCTCCCCCTGGAAGGAATTTATAACAATATAGGGTCATCATTAGATGAACCCCCAGCCAAGATGAGGCAGTGGCAGCATAATATGAATGCTCCTATAGTAAGTTGGATGTTCAGGAATTCAGAACAATCTTTTTTTCTGCTATATTCTCTAAATCCAGTCTTTCTCGCCTTTCTCCATGTTACTTACTGATACTCTAATAGAGAGAGTATGTAGTGCAAAAAACTTCTGTGCTTAGAAAATTCCGTGCTCAGGTTGAATTAGGGTATGAGGTACTGATTTGTAAAGTTAACCTGAGATATGCTATAGTATTACTATTTACCTTAATACCTTCCAAGAATTTTAGCAATCCACCCTGACTCACTGGAGTGAGAAAATAAGAGGGAGACAAATAAGGGTTCCAGTAACTCCCAAGTAGTGTATTGAAAATGAGTTCAGTTCAGCAGTCATCTGGGCCTTGAGTGGGCACCCAAGCATGTGTATTCATCAGTACTGTGGTGGCACAGTGTCTTCTCTTTACATGCCACCTTTCTCATTGACCTGGCAATTCTGGATCATTGAATGATTATGTGGATAAGGTGATCCTGGAGCCAAAGCTTTTGGAGGAGGAGTATGGCTAAGGCTTAGGAAGAAGTCTCAAAACCTCAACACATAGAAAAACTCCCTTCAGAGAAAGCAGACCAGAGAGTATGCTCTGGTGCATATTGTCTGCTTTATCAGATGTCATCTTGACAAGATTCAAACCAGCCAGATGTTAAGGTGCCTGAATACACAGAAGTGTAAGGTTTTTACTGACTTGGAGTTAGTTTCTAGTGTTAGTAGATTAGAGATAGAATGTGTCCCTGCTAAATAGAAAAACTAGTGGCCAAACACATTTTCTATGTGAGCCCACATTTTCCCAGCCTTTGATCAGAGATTTAGATTTATGATAGTTCCCATATTTTCTTTTAGAGCCAAAGCCTGGTGTATACCCACACATTTTCCACACACAAGGTCTGGGAAATAGTGCAAATGATAGCAGGTGTGATGGCAGTGATGCTGGGGTGGGAGTTAGGGGTGAGATTTGGATAGACCTTGGCTGCCTACCTTCCTCCAATCTTACATTGGTTTCATATCTGCCCTTGGCATTGGGTACAGGACCATCTCTTAGCCACCACAGCTTAAGCTCTTACATTCCAAACTTATTAACTAAATGTAGTTCTTGTATACAACTACCAAATGTTTTGAGAATCACAGTGAATGGAATATAATAAGTGAGTCTATGTATGACATACTCATTGAAAAAAATGATGGAAGGTGCTAAATCATACAAGCAAGCTTTTGACTGTTTTCTCCAAATATCAGACTATACAAACTACTCCAGTTGCCAGATACTTGAATTGCAGGGATAGGAGTTTGCACTTGTGAAGGTACTCTCTAAAAGAAATACTTTGTAGATAAGTGGGATTGATTCCTGCACTCTAGTTGAACAAATTGTAAATAAAATGAAAATGCTCGAGTAAGCATTGTCTGCCTGTGTATAATTGGGATCATTAATGTGAATGTATAGTTATTGTACATTTTAATTTCTTTGTGACTGTTTTTGTTTGCACTGTGGGGTTTTAACTCTTTGAACCAGTATTGCTGTATATGGACACTAATTTCTGTATTGTGTCATTGGTATAAGAATGTCAAATACATTCGTGAGCTTCATTTTCCTAAATGAATAATTTAAATACAGTATTATTTGCCCTCTTCCCTTTCCTTCCTCCAACATTTCCTTTGTAGTCCCTTGCTCTTTTAAATTCATGGTATCTTTCTCTTTAACTTTTGTTACTGATGTGTATTCCTAAATATATAAATACAGCCCTTTCAGTCTACTACATGTTACTTGTATGTATATGATTTCATGGTATTGGGTAACCAATTTATATGTTTCCCCCCCCCCAGGAAACACTGTTTCCTGTTGTCAACATTTTTTAGTTGTCTATAGTTCTTTGTCTAGAGTTAGTGTGTTGTAAGATTAACCTCCACCCCCCACCCCGCTAATGTGTGTTGATGCTATCATTTTAAAAGACTTTCAAAATTGTATGTGTATGAGTGTTTTGCTTGTGTTTATGTGCATATACCACATACATGCCTATTACCTGCAGATACCAGAAGATGTTGGAGCCAAGGGAGCTGGAGTTACAGATGGTCGTGAGTAACCATGTGAATGCTGAGAACTGGATGTAGGTCCTCTGAAAGAGCAGCAAGACTCTAACTGCTGAGCTGTCTCTCCAGTCAGCCAATGTCAGTAGTATTTTAATTTGTGTTATCTGCATTGCTTTTGTTTCTCATGTTAAGGGTATGATGATTGAACACTTAGGTATGATCTATAAAATGTGGCTGTTCAAGTCTCTTGCCTATTTTTTTTCTTCTTGGACACTCTGTTTTGTTCTTTTTTTGTCATCACTTTAGATGCATTCAGCTTTTATAAATTTAATGAGGTGTACTTGGAATAATACTTTGGATATATATTTAGTCTGTTTCTGATATGCAGCATTCATAAAATCAGTGCTAGTCAAGATAATTAAGACATCTATCTCACTAAATTGTTTTCTAGTAGCTTTATAATTCTTTGTGCACCTTTCCCACTAGTTCAATTTTTGTAAGATGAAAAGCAATTTTGACAAATGATACAATTATATAGATCAATGAAATAGCACAAAGGAACATATGTAATTACCTATTTCAGGAAATTGAAAGTTCATTGTACTTCAGAAAACACTTTAATAGGCTTGAAAACTAAATTGAATGCTGGGAGAAAGAAGGCAGAATCAATGGGATGCCATGTAGCTGCCGCAGGAGACAGACACCCAGAACCTTGCCAGTAAACTACAAGCCTTGTAGTAAAATATAAAATAATGGAAATGGGTTATTTAAGATATAAGATTTAGCCAGAAATACACTTAAGCTATTTGCCAACTTGTATTGTAATTGATACAGTTTCTGTGTGGTTATTTCTGATCTGAGTGACCGGAGAACAAACAAACACGTTTTGCCAACATCCTGTATTTATTTGAATCCCTCTCTGTGAAATTGTGAATTCTTAAAATTTGTCATCTGTTTAGTTACTCCTTATCCTCATGATGTGGCCCTAGAGATTGTTGGTGAGGAGAACTACTGATAACCTAATGGCTGATATAGTAAGATAACGAGAATAAACTGGTAATAAAACAATGATTAAAATTAACCTCCATTCATACACAGATCTAAAGAGGTATTTTAAAGGATGAGTTTATGCCTAAGTTACTTTAATTGATAATTGGGGTACACAAATTGTGTGTGACAAAGATCCATTTATCAAAGTACTTTTTTAAATCTCATGTTGATCTATGGACCTGTGAACAAAATTCTGACATACTTGGGACAACTGAAATGTCTGTCCCGAGAGAAACTAGCATCCAGTACAACTGCATTTGAGTAAATAGTTCATATATCACTAAGCATTCAATTTCTCGAGGACAGTTTGATAAGGGGGCTTTTTACACACCATTAGCTCTTCTGGAGTTCAGTGTAGAACAGGCAGCCCTCATCTGTGCAGCAATCCTTTTTCTGCCCCTGAAGTGTTGGGATTATATACATGTACCATCATACCCAACTACATTCAATCTTTAGATCGTGATTATTACAGGGACTTCCAGATGCAATTTGTGAAACTGCAAATCAGCAATAATACATGCAAAAGTTGGTTGTTACAACTTTTGACATGTTTATTCTCTTACAAGTTCTTGTGTTTGAAGCCTGTTTATGTATGTGACAGTGTTGAGGTGCTGGGTTATAGTATGAGGTCTCTACTGTCCCATCCCATCATAACTGAAATTTACTCCCTGCTTCCTTTCCATCCCTCCCTCTCTCCTTTCCTTCAACATTAGTGCTGGTTATAGGACCACTGTCTTAGCCACCACAATTTAAGCTCTCCGACTCCAATTTTTTAACTGAATATATATGTGTGTGTGTGTGTGTGTGTGTGTGTGTGTGTGTGTGTAAATTAAATTAAATTTGTATATACATATATAAATTACAGCTATTCCGTTATTCTAAAATAATTTTACATATATATTTGTGAGTTGTTTTTTAAGGTAGCAATTGTTCTTGATTTTTATTTGTCCTCTCTTCCTTGAGAAAAATGACCAGTGATGAAAACTAGAAGAGGAAATGCTTATTTTGCTTCTTGGTTTTCATGAATTATTAGTCCATCTTAGCAAGACAAGTGTATTAGCAGGATTCGCTAAATGCCAGGTAGTGAGAGCTGGAAGTATCCATTCCTCATATGGTAGAGAACAAGGAAGCAGAGACTGAAGGCCAGAATGAGGAGTAGTTATAAACTTCAAAAGTCTGTGAGTAATGACCCACTGCCACAGACTCAAAGTTTTATCGCTATTATGAGAACCATGAAACAGAAAGGAGTGGAGCTTCCTTTCCCCTTTCTTGGGACTGTTTAGAATGGACAGGGCAGTGAAGGAAATGCATGGCCCAGGAAACTAGTCCTCCCTCCCTTTGTACATTCCACATAGAATACAGAGTACAGGGGCCCTGGATGACAGTCTTAGCCCCTCCACACAGGGACCAGTATGTCATTGGAGACAAATGATGAAACAAACAGCACTATATGAGTTGGAAAAATGTTTTTTGTTTGTTTTGTTTTGTTTGTTTTTCTGGGTGACCTGACAGAGACAAAAGGATTTAGGCCCCCAACAAGATACATATAGATCCTAAGCTAGGGTTGGGTGGGGGGGAGTTTTCTACTAGAGAAAGGCACTGGGAAATAGAACTGACAGACATACATAGAATGATAGAGAGAGACTGTAATGACAACCAGCGGTGGCTAAAATACATTCATGCACCTGAGCAGACAGACAGATTTGTTATAAGAGGAGACCAATTGTTTTCCAACTGCCTGGCTAGCTCAGTTGGTAGATTATGAGACTCTTAGTCTCAGGGTCTTGGGTTCGAGCCCCACATTGGCCACCAATTTGTAGTAAGGAGGCCAGTTGTTCGTCCTGGCAGCCCAGAACTGAAATAATCACACACAAACCGTATTATTTAAATCCCTGCTTGGCCCAATTAGCTCTATCTTCTTATTGGCTAACTCTTACATATTAATTTAACCTATTTCTCTTAATCTGTATATCACCACATAGCTGGGACTTACCTACTAAGGTTCCAACATCGGTCTCTCATGGCAGCACCATGGCTTCTCTTTAACTCTACCTTCCTTCTCCCAGCATTCAGTTTAGTTTTCCCCATCTAGTTCTGTTCTACCCTATCAGGCCAAGCCAGTTTTCTTTATTCATTAAAGGTAATGACAGCATACAGAGGGGAATCCCACATCAGGGATTCAGTACAGTACAGTAGAGTACTTGAAGAAGAGCAAACATTGAACATCAAAATCAACAAAAATTAAAATCACCCCCCAAACAACTAAGCAGAAGTGGTCATAAATCTGACAACGCAATTTTCCAAACAATTCAGATGTTCAGCAAACACATTTTAAGATGTTTACCAAAGACAATAATACAAATAAAACTTTATTTTTATTTTTTATCCTATTTTTTAATTTTTTTTGCAAATAAAACTTTAAGAGACTGGAGGTGTCTATGTGTAAAAAATCATTTTCTGTACAAACATGGGGACCTGATTCAAGTCTGCAGCACACTTTGATGGGGAAGCTCAGCCAATCACATTCTGTTTAGGGTGTGCCCCCTGGGACCAAAGAAAACAAATAAAAATCCATGTGTGCTTGACTCTGCCCTTTTGTTCCCTGAACTTCTGAATTGCTGGAACCCTGGTTTTGTAAGTTCCCTTCTGTTTATTTTTTTCAATTGATTTGTTTATACAAAATTTCCACTTCCTCCCCTCCTCCCCATCCCCTCCCATTCCCCCCACTCCCTCTCCTCCCCGCCCCACTCCCTCTCCTCTTCCCTCTTAAACCTGCCCTTTGGGAAGTTCAAGTTCCTCCCCTCTCCCTCCAGGTCTAGGAAGGTGAGCATCCAAACAGACTAGAATCCCAAAAAGCCAGTACATGCAGACAAAACAAGACCCAGTGCCATTGTCAATGGCTTCTCAGTTAGCCCCCATGTCAGCCATATTCAGAGACTCCGGTTTGATCACATGCTCGTTCACTCCCAGTCCAGCAGGCCTTGGTGAACTCTCATTAGATCAGTCCCCTTGTATCAGAGGGTGAACGCACCCCTCGCAGTCCTGATATCCTTTTTCATGTTCTTCCTCCTTCTGCTCCTCATTTGGACCTTGGGGGCTCAGTCCAGTGCTCCAATGTGGGTCTCTGTCTCTATCTCCATCTATCATCATATGAAGGTTCCCTCTGGTCCTGCCTTTCTTGCTCAGGTTCTCCCTCCTTCTGCTTCTCATTTGGACCTAGGGAGTTAAGTCCAGTGTTTCAATTTGTGTCTCTGTCTCTATCTCCATCCATCGCCAGATGAAGGTTCTATGGTAATATGCAAAATATTCATCAGTATGGTTATAGGCCAAGGCCAGTTCAGGCACTCTCTTCTCTGCTGCCCAGGGAACAATCTGGGGACCTCTCCTAGGCCTGGGAACGCCTCCAGAATCAAGTCTCTTGCAACCCCTAAAATGGCTCCCTTAGTTGAGATATATACTTCCCTGCTCCCATATCCATCCTTCCTCCCTCCCCCCATCCCATTCCCCCAAGCCATCCCCAATTCTTCCCCTCTCCATTCTCTCTAACCATCTCCCCTTACTTCAACCCCCTACCCCCGTGCACCCAAGTTTGCCTGGCAATCTTGTCTATTTCTAGTATCCAAGAGGATAACTATATGATTTTCTTCAGATTCACCTTATTTAACTTCTCTAGGATCAT